AATTTTAACATTAAGTTCAAAAGTTAAGAAATAGACTGGGAAAATGAGCAAACACCAGAAAAAGAACTTTACTATAAAAAACTACTATGGTGGCAAGGAAGATAATAACATGAAAACAGCAACAAAAGCCTCAAAGAAAAATGCTAATTGGACACAAGTCCAACAAAAATTCCTAGAATAGTTTTTAAAAAGAGATAAGTGTCAAAGCCCAACAGCAAGAGATAGAAAGAGAAATTCCATTTAAAGTTACTATAGATATTATAAAATATTTAGGAGTCTACCTACTGAAACAAACGCAGGAACTATATGAACACAATTACAAAACACCTTTCACACAAATAAAGTCAGATAAATAATTGGAAAAACATCAGTTGTTCATGGGTAGGCCGAGCTAATATAATAAAAATGACAATCTACCTAAACTAATTTATTCAGTGCCATGCCAATCAAACTACCAAAAAATTATTTTATGGAGCTAGAAAAAATAATAACAAGATTCATTTGGAAGAACAAAAGGTCCAGAATATCAAGGGAACTAATGAGAAGAAATGCAGAGGAAGGTGGTCTAGCTTTCCCAGATCTTAAATTGTATTATAAAGCAGCAATCATCAAAACTGCTTGGTTCTGGCTGAGAAATAGAGTAGTGGATCAGTGGAATAGGTTAGGTATGCAAGACAAAGTAGTCAATGACTATAGTACTGTACTATTTGATAAACCTAAAGACCCCAGCTTTTGGGATAGGAACTCACTATCTGACAAAAACTGCTGGGAAAACTGGAAAAGAGTATGGCAGAAACTAGGCATAGTCCAAAATCTTACACCATATGCCAAAATAAAGTCAAAATGAGTTCATGATTTAGATATAAAGGCTGATACTATAAGAAAACTGAGAGAGCAAGGAATAGTTTACCTGTCAGATTTATGGAGAACAGAAGAATTCATGACCAAACAGGAGATAGAGAACATTATGAAAAGCAAAATGGATAATTTTGATTACATTAAATTGAAAAGTTTTTGCATAAACAAAGCCAATGCAACCAAGATTAGGAGGAAAGTAGAAAATTGGGAAAGAATTTTTACAGCCAGGGTCTCTGATAAGGGCATCATTTCTAAAATATATAGAGAATTAAAGTCAAATTTATAAGAATACAAGTCATTCCCCAATAGATAAATGGTCAAAGGATATGAACAGGCAGTTCTCAGATGAAGAAATTAAGGCCATCTGTAGTCATATGAACAAATGCTCTAAATCACTATTGATTAGAGAAATGCCAATCAAAACAACTCTGAGGTACCACATCACACCTACCAGATTGGCCAACATAACAAAACAAGTAAATGATAAAAGTTGGAGAACATGTGGGAAAATTGGAACATTAATACATTGTTGGCGGACTTGTGAAATGATCCAACCATTTTGGAGAACAATTTGGAACTATGCCCAAAGGGCTATAAAAATGTGCATACCCTTTGACCCAGCAAAAGCACTTCTAGGGCTGTATCTCAAACAGATCATACGAATGAGAAAAGGATCCACACGTACAAAAATATTCATAGCAGCTCTTTTTGTGGTGGCAAAGAATTGGAAATTGAGAGGATGCCCATCAATTGGGGGATGGCTGAACAAGTTGTGGTATATGAATGCGATGGAATACTATGTGCTATAAGAAATGATGAACAGGCTGACTTCAGAAAAACCTGGAAAGACTTGTATGGACTGATGCTGAGTGAAGTGAGCAGAACCAGGAGAATGTTGTATAGTAACAGCCACATTGTGCAATGGCTAACTTTGGTAGACTTAGCCCTTCTTAGCAATGCAAGGATATAAGACATCTCCAAAAGTCTCATGATGGAAAATGCTATCCATATCCAAAGAAAGAACTATGGATTTGGAATGCAGATTAAAGCACACTATTTGCCATTTTTTTCTTTGCGTGGAGATCGTGGAGGGGAATGGAGAGAAAAATTTAAAACTCAAAAGCTTATGGAAGTGATTATTGATACATCAAAATAAATTAATAAAAAAAATTTTTAAAGAGACAAATGTGGTAGAGAAAAAATAGGAAAAGAAATGTGAGTGATACAAGAAAATTACAAAAAGAGAATTAACAGGTTGGTAAAGGAGATACAAAAAATTATTGAAGAAAATAACACCTTAAAAAACAGACTAAGCCAAGTGGTAAAAGTGGTACAAAAAGGCAATAAGGAGAAAAATGCCTTAAAAATGTCAGAATTGGCCAAATAGAAAAGGAGGTCCAAAAGCTCACCAAAGAAAATAATTCCTTAAAAATTAAAGTGGAGGGGCAGCTAGGTGACGCAGTGGGTAGAGCACCAGCCCTGACGTCAGGAGGACCTGAGTTCAAATCTGGCCTCAGACTAAACACTTGACACTTACTAGCTGTGTGACCCTGGGCAAGTCACTTAACCCCAATTGCCTTAAAAACACACACACACACACACACACACACACACACACACGCACACAAAAATTAAAATGGAGCAAATGGAAGCTTTATGAGAAATCAAGAAACAATAAAACCAAAAGAATGAAAAAAAAAAGACAGCATGAAATATCTCACTGGAATCATTGCTATCAATATACGTTAATATTATAAATCTTGAGTATTTTCTGTGTTTCTTGTTATACTTTCCATGTGAAATTATTTCAGTATTTCCAAATGTGGGTGTACATTTTCTGCAGTGTCCATCTCAGCCTTTTCATACCTTAGCCTAGACAATCTTTATGAGTTTCTGGAAAATTGATCACCCAATTGGCAACCTTTTGGTTACAATTCTGTCAGAATTATAGATAGGCTAGTCCTTGAGCAACATATACAGTCTGCCACAGGTTCCAAACTCAAAGCCTTTACAGTTTGGCTGGAGCTTGTGCTTTGCTGGCATATCCTTTAAGAATCTGGGATTGTCTCTGTGCTATGGTAAGGCATCAAGAGTAAGACTTTAGTAGAAGCCTAGAAAATACTTGGAGAGGATGTGTAGTCTCTAAAGTTTTTTTAAGAATAGTCTTAGAAACCTTTCAATATAATTTGTGCAATTCTATTACTGAATAAATAGAATCTTTCCCATGGCATTTTAAATCCATTTCCTGTTGTCCAGAGGGCAAAAGAGCTATTTGCCCTAATCCATACTCTGTCCTGATATTCACCACGTCACCTAAATTAGGGTCTTATACATAGGTGCTCACAAAATATTTTGTTGAATGATGTCTGATTCTTTTATTACGTTCCATTATCAAGAGCACTGTATTTAATTCAGTTTCCTGCTGTGAACAAGGAACTGTACTGGGTGCTAGGGATACAAAAGCAGTAGGGGGGAGAAAGGAGCCCTGTACCCAAGAGCTTTCTACCAAGGTGAAAGAGTTTACTGACTGCATATACACAGATAAATACAAGAACATTTGAGGAAGGGATGAGAGAAATCAGAACAGGCTTTCCTGAAGAGATGATACCTGATAAACTTTGAAGAAAGCTAAGGATTCTAAGGTACAGAATGAAGAGAGAGGCCTGCCTATGAAAGGTGTGCAGAAGATCAAGTAGACAGGGACAGAAGTGATGAAAATAAGTCTACCGAGGTAAGCAGTACCCAAACTATGAAAGGTATTAAATGATATAATATTTGTAAAGTGTTTAACATAGTGCCTGGCATAGAATATGCCCTTAATAAAATCCCCATTTAGATGCCAAGTTAAGGAGTTTGTATTTTATCCTGGGGGCAATACAGGGTTCTTGAAGATTCTTGATCAAGAAAGTAACATTGTCAGATCTGTGCTTTAGGAAAATTATTTTTATAGCTAGTTGGAGAATAAATTGCAGAGGGAAGAGACTGGAAGATGGGAGACTAGTTAGGATGATGTTATAGTAGTTTAGGCAATAGTTCATGTAGATTTGAACTAGGGAAGTGGCAAAGTGAAGATGTTGATAGACTTGACAGAACTTGGCAACTGATTGGTTGGTTATGTGGAAGGTGAGAAAAAGAAAAGTCAGGGGTGACTCAAAGGTTGTAAACCTGGTGATTAAAAGGGATGGTAGTATCTTCCAATACAGAAGGGCAAGTTTGGACAGTGATAGTTTGAGGTTGAGATGCATGAGCAACTTCTGAGTGCAATTATTCAGGCAGTTGGTTATGTGGGACTTGAGTTCAGAAGGATTAGGACCAGATACATCAATCTGAAAGCCTTCTGCATAGATATAATTCAGCCCATGGGAGCTGCTGAGATCATAGAGAAGAGCATGTAGAGAGACAGAAGACAGATGATGATATAGTAAAGGCCATAGCAGCTGGACAGGTAGAAGAACTAGGGGTATAGCAGTGTAGGAAAAGCCAAAAACTAGAGTAGGGTCATGCAGTATGAGAATTAGCAATCCTTCTAATTTAGAAAATTGTTGGTATCCTTAAAGAGAACAATTTCAGTTAATAGTGGTTGTAGTTGGAAACTACAAATGTAGAAGCAATGAATATAGACAATCTTTTCTAGTAATTTGGCTATGAAAGAGAGGATATAATATTTCAAACACCTAACTGATGACTCACTTGTACAGTTTTAAAATTTTGGTTTTTGCTTGGATTTCATGGTAATGGAATTTGACTATTAAACATTAATGGGACATTTCTTCTTCAGTCTCAGTCCAGACTAATCGTAATTCTCAAACACTATGTGTTGAAAATCGGAAATGGATGGGGCAGCTAGGTGGTACAGTAGATAGAGCACCAGCCCTGGAGTCAGGAGGACCTGAGTTCAAATCTTGCCTCAGACACTAGACACTTACTAGCTGTGTGACCTTGGGCAAGTCACTTAACCCCATTGCCTAACCAAAAAAAAAAAAGAAAGAAAATCTGAAATGGGAACACAAACAAACAAACAAAATATATATATATATATATATATATATATATATATATATATATATAATATATATATATATATATATATATTTCTTTCAATCTTTAATTTGTTTACAATTCTTTTATTTTGTGTTTTTCAGTAGATGAATACATTGCCATTGCCAAGGAGAAGCATGGGTACAATATGGAGCAGGTAATAAAGTGATTTCCCCCCCCCCCATTCTTATTAAGTGGGGTTCTATAAACAAATTGCTGAAAAGGATTTTCTTTTAGTACTATAGTGCAATTTTCTTATTGAAAATGCTTTTGTACTAAACACCATTGTTCAATAAGTCTCTCTCCTTTTACCACCTTTGTCCATAGACTCTGAAGGGACCTTAGAGATCACCTTTTCTATAAAATTAGGTAATAATTACCTACCTCACACATGGGGACAAAAGTGGCTTATAAGTCTTAAAAATGTGGTAGAAATGTGAATTAATAACTAATGTAGCATCTCTGTCCATTTGCAAAACTTTCTACAAATTATAAGAATTAGTCATCAACCCTCAACTTAAAAATTTCCACTGATGGGGAAATCACTCCCTTACTAAGGATTTCTTTGTTGAATAGTTTAGTTAATCCCGAGAGTACTTATTTAGTGGGTAGGGAGAGGCATACCATTTCTTATTGTTATGGGTGGGGGAGGAGGGGAAAAGGTAGTATTTCAGGTGGGAATCCTGATTTCCATTTCTTCACCCTGAAGCAGCTCAAGGGAAAGGGGATGGGTTTTTAAGCCATTTATTAAAGTTAAAGGGAAGGAGGGGCAGGCAGCTAGGTGGCACAGTAGATAGAGCTCTAGCCTTGGAGTCAGGAGGACCTGAGTTAAAATCCAGCCTCAGACACTTGACACTAGCTGTGTGACCTTGGGCAAGTCACTTAACCCCGATTGCCTCACCAAAAAAAAAGTTGAAGGGAAGGAATTAAAAATATACAATTTGAAGAAAAAGATTTTAATGTCTAGTTGTAGACTCGAGAATCTTTTATGAAGATTCTCATCTACCTGGCCCATGAGTATCATTAAGTTTAAGTATTTAGATGGTTTAGCCCACCCCATTTGCAGTTTGAGAGACTCCCTATGTTGTATCTTGGTTTGATAATCTGTACTAATACTACCCTCTCCTCACCACAAATACTCCTGATCTAGTCATACTGTTTGCCTCTTTTCCTAAAGAAATTTGACCATCATTCAGTAGATGCCCAATTTCCAGGGAAAAGCTTAATGTAGCCATGATTCTGTCACTTCACAGCTCCATCCCCTCCTTCCAACAGCTACATTATCATGTACCTCCCTACACACTATATTTCATGATTGGATGTAACGCTACTTATTATTCCCTCTGAAATACTTCTTCACGAACCATCATTAGGAAGCTGTAGTGTCAAAACAATATTAACAAGTTTTCTCAGCTTTTCGTTTTTTAATCTGTACCTCATCACTTTCTATATATGTTTTTCTGTGGGATCATGGAATTGGAAAGTTGGAAGGGAACTTAAGAACTATATTTTTTCAAGAATTCTCTGTAATATCCTTAACAATAATGTCTGCAAAGCTTTTAGGAGAAGAAATTAAATTGAAAATAGTTGAGTAGTTTCCTTATGCTTTGCATTTACTCTTTGCCTCTATTCATAACATCATGTATGTTTTTGAGGTTGTTTGATCTAACATTATAGTATTGCATATAAAGATTTTTAAAATATATTTTTAGGCACTTGGGATGCTTTTTTGGCATAAGCACAATATTGAAAAATCCTTGGCTGATCTACCCAACTTTACCCCATTTCCAGATGAGTGGACTGTGGAAGATAAAGTTCTGTTTGAGCAGGCCTTTAGTTTTCATGGGAAAACATTTCATAGAATCCAACAGATGGTAAGTAGATTAGAAAAAAATAAGGAAGGACATTATTCAGTACGTTATATCTGGATACAGGTATGCTGGTTTGATTGTGCCTACTATTCAGAAAAGGGTATTTGTAATTTCTTTTTTTTTTCTTTTTGGTAGTTGAACATACTGCACACTGTTGATTGGTTACACCTGACTGCAGAAGGGCTTTTAGTCATGCAAAGATATTTAATTGAATTCTTGTCTAAGAAATCTTTGACAATGTTTTTTAAAATAGAAGTCTTAAAAAATAAAACGAGGGCTATAGTAGGAACATGGGGTTTTTATTTTTATGTATACATATGCATACATGTACATATTCATTCATACATATGTACATGCATCATTAGACGAAGCCACTGTTTCATGTGCTTCTGAACTATTTTTCTTTGTTCTGATGGTAGGAAGGGATATCCTCAGATATCACTGGTGATCAAAACAAAGCATCGATAACTTTTTTAAAAAAAGAACATTGGGTTTACTATATAGTTTAAGTATGTGATAGTTCTGTTATTTCAGACCACTTTTGCCATTTAGTACAGTAAAACTGTGCTCTTTAGACCAGGCCTGCACAACTTGTGGTATGCCGAAGGATTTCAGGTGGCCTGCAAAAAATGTAGAGGAAAACATCCTTTGTATGTAGAGAAAATTCTTTGGCGGGGTGCAAGTTGTGCAAGTAATTAGAATTTATGGTAAATTTGGATATGGAATAGGCTAGGCTAAAATTTGTCTTTTCACTAAGAGAAAAAGTTTCACTTAATGTTGTATTTGAATCTGGATAATTATTAACTCTGTTTAAATTCAAATTGTAGTTTCTCCAATAAAATTTCATTAGGATGAATTTTTTTCTGTTGTGTTTTTAGCTTCCTGATAAGTCTATAGCAAGTCTAGTGAAATTTTACTATTCTTGGAAGAAGACAAGAACCAAAACCAGTGTAATGGATCGTCATGCCCGGAAGCAGAAAAGGGAACGGGAGGAAAGGTAACTAAAGCCATAGCTGTGTTTTTTATTTCACTAATTTGGTTAGCCATTAGAATTCATGAGAGTAGGTAGAGGCTAAAATCAAAAGTCCATTGTTTGGAATTTCCCCTATTTCCTGATAAAATAGTAGTTAAACAGAAATATTATAATTAAACAGTAAATGTTTTCTTCATATTTTTCTTTTTGCCTGTATCACCCCCTTTTTTAATTTAGTGAATATTTAAAGTAATAATATAATTTCTAGATTAAAATAGACTGATGGTTTCACAAGTTTCTTCTGGAGTCTATCAAATTCATACTTATATTCTAAGCCTAAACATAGGATTACCAAAGAAACCAATTATATTGAATCAGTTGTCAAAATATTAATAACCAAGTTCTCAGACCTTAGGTTAAAAACCAACTCATACATGATCTAGTCCAACTCATACATGAAAAGGAATTCCAACTAGAGATGGGGAGACCAGTACCTCCCAAGACAGCTCATTCCACTTTTGAGTAGTGTTATTTGTTAGAAAGTTTTTCTTTCAAATATTTCAAATTATTTGCTTCTTAGCATCACCTACATGTTACTCCTAGTTCTCTCTTCTGGGGCCAAAAATACAATCTCCATCTTATGCCCTTCAAGTTCTTGAAGAGAGTTATCATTTGCCTTAAGTTTTTCCCTTTCCAATCCATTTTCTTCAAGCCAGCCATTCCCATTTCCTTCAGTTGATGATCATAGGGCTTGGGTTTTGAGGCCCTTTACTGTCCAGGTGCTCTGTGTTTTTTCAGTCAGCTGAACACAGTATTCCAGATATGGTCTGACCAGAACAAGCAGAGCATGATGGGGTTGGTCGCCTTATTGCTGGAAGCTCTGCCTCCTTTTATGCACCACAAGACATCTCATTAGTGTTTTGAATGCCATTTCACACTGTGGATTCATAGAAGTTATTATCCACTAAATTTCTCAGATCCTTTTCAGACAAACTGCTGTTTTGTCTGACTATTTTTTGTCTATTTGTTTGTCTAACCACAACTCATCTTTTACGTGTGAAATCAATTTCTTTGAGGTACGTTTTCTGAATGTAAGACTTTTGCCTTTATCCCTATTAAATTTCACCTTACAAGCCCACATTTCAAAGCCCAACACTGATTTGAGAGTTGGAGGACAATCTGAATTCAAATCTTTCTTCTTTGACTTGGACAAATCATTTAATCTTTCTGGCCTTCAGTTTCTTCATCTGTAAAATGAAGTTGGAGGGTATAAATTACCTCAAAAGTTTCTTCTAGATCTAAATCTATGAAAGCATGATATTTTGAAATCCTAATCTTTTTAGTTTGTTATCTGTCCTTCTCTGCTTTTTGTCATCTGCAAATTTAAGGTGCCATCCTTCACTTTATCCAAATCATGGATAATATTAAACAGCACAAGGCTAAGCCCAGGTTCCTAGGGAACTCTACTGATGATGTCTTTTCACATTGATATAGAACTAGTAATGACTATGCTTTGGGTCAGTCTATTCAACCAGGTACAAATCCATCTAGTTATACTGTCTTCTAACCAACCTTTCTTCATCAGATGTTTTGCTAAAATCTAGGGAATTGTCATCTACAGCATTCTCCTGATAATTCAGTTTAGTAATCCTTTCAAAAAAAGGGAATAGTCTGGCATGCCCTGTTCTTCAAGAAGTCTGCAATTCTGTGTTCATTTCCTTTTCTAAACATTCAGTAACCATTTCTGTAATAATAAACTCTAAAATTTTGCCAGGAATCTAAGTCAAACTCATTAGTAGATTTTATTCTCTTCCCTTTTTTTTTGAAAATCAGGATATTTTTCTACTCAAGTTTTACCTCTCCAGCTTTCTACATTTGAAATATCAAAAGATCAAAAAAGGAAAAGAAACATCATCGACAGTGGTCCAGCAATCACAGCTTCTAGTATCTTAATCTTAATACTGAGTCAGTGGCTTGAGCTCATGAATGGCAATTAGATGCTCTTATTTATTTTGGGTATCAACTCCATATTATGGTTTTCAATTTTCTTTTATTCTTTCTACTTTAAAATTCATTCTTCAGGCAAAGAAAACAGAAGCAAATTAAGAGTTCAGTAACTTCCCATTTTTGTTGAAGGTGCCACCCTTCTTCTAGTCACCTAGGTTCCCCACATTCATATCAGTCCTCTACTCCTTACTCACCCTCACCCCACATGTCCAGGCATTCTCTCCAGTTACATACCTTCCACCTTAGTTTAGGTCCTCATCACCTCTTGACCTAGATGATTTCAGCAGCCTTCTAATTGCTCTTCCTGCTTCAAGTCTTTTCCCAGTCTAGTCCAATGTACATGTAGCTGCTGAAGTAATTTTCCTTTAGTGCAGCTTTGGCCACGTGAGTTCTCTTCAGTCAATTTCTGTGGCTTCTTGGTTGCCTCAAAGATCAAATTTCAACTTGTCTTGCTTTTAAAAACCTGACACAGTCTGGCCCCAACTTACCTTTCTAGCCTCATTAGACATTATTCCATTCTTCCTCCCACAGTTTTTGATCTAGCCTAAGTGGCCTTGGTACATACTGCTACACATCCTTGCTGAGGGCCTTTGCCCCAGCCATCCTGTGTGCCTGGATTTCACTCCTCTCTTTACTTACACCTCACTGAGTCCTTTTCTTCCTTGAAGACAGCTCGAGCACAAGTGGTACTTTTCTGTGTGAAGCCTTTTCTGATTCTTGCCCAAGTATTAGTGCCTCCCCTGTTTGTATTGAGATACTTTGTATATATTTGTGTTTAGTCCCTGTATGTTGTGTATATTAACATGTACTTGTCTCCCCTGTTACAATGTAAGCACCTTATAAGTAGGGATGACTTCATTCTTTGCACTTATATTCTCCACTTATAGCACAGGGATGGGCACATAATAGGTGTTTAATAAATAAATACTTATTGATAGATTGTTTGGTTGCTGGTTTGGAGAGAGGGATCAAATCAGATTTGTTTTTGTGATGATATATATGAAATAATGCATTCCAAAAATAATATGGGGTTTAAATGTCATTTCCTTCTTAGAAGTTTAAAACATGCACCAAATTAACCCCAAGCTAGCTTATATGTGTGTGTGTGTGTATATAGAATCATCACCAAGTAATTTGTCAGTAACTTACTTTTGTCTTCCAGTGAGGATGAACTGGAAGAAACAAATGGAAATAACCCAGTTGACATTGAGGTTGATCAAAACAAGGAAAGCAAAAAGGAGGTATTTTTTTCCCTAATTTTTTGGAAGGCTAACAGAGTTCATTATCTGTTTTTATTAGTGAAAACACACCTGTCACAGGAAACTTGTTACTGTTTAGACACATCAACAGTATATTTCCAGTTTTGTTCAAGGAAGAGAAAAAAAAATGGAGAATTTTTTTCTTTTATATTGCATAGCTGAAGGTAATTAAAGATTTTCTCTGTAGTAGCGTTATCTGTTACAAACCCACATCTTTAATTTGGTTAGAAACTTGGTGCCAATAAGGATATGGTTCTACATTTGATTCCTATTTGGACCAGTTTCTCCTCTGCCACATCCTCATTCCTAGCTAGCATTCTTGGGGAATAAATGCTTTTTACCACAAGGGGAACCATGGAAAAGGGTTTGGCTTGATAAATAGCATCATTTTCGGATATGAAAGCAAGGTGCCACCCTCTCCCTTTAAAAAAAAATCCCCCATGTCTTTAAATATATATAGTGCCAGATGCTACACTGGACATTAAATGTTAGATTGAGTTTTCTTTGAGGAACCAAATGATTCTACTAAATTTGGAATATAATTTTTATTTGTGTACTGTCATTTAAAATGTTTCTTGATTGAAGTATTTTAGATCACCGAGAAAGGGATAGATAAACAATAACTACTCTGATAATTCCTAATTTAAAAAAAGGAAAATGGTTAAGTCTCAGAGTTCTTATGAACTGAAACCTAAGTAAAGCATGAATGCTGTAAACACCTGGCCTTGAATAGACAGCCATCATGTTATACAAAGAAAGAATTAGCAGTGTGTAGTTTAATAGCCTACTATTGGAAGTGTAATGTTTTGTTTCTAAGAAACTTAATTTTTTTTTAAATGCCATGCAATGATTTTTAAACATATCTGAAAATTGTTTTATTTGTAAAAATCACTTAATCTCAATTGTATTGAATGAGCAAATTGTGTTTTGCTAACATTACTTTATAGATAGTGTATATATATCCCTTAAATATTAATTAATATAATGAACTTGACATTAATATAAAAAAATTGAAAAGTTGGGACATTTAATGAATTTAAAACCTGTTAAATCTTCATATTAACAAAGTTCTGCTTTTCCTTGCTAAGACATTAAAGCACAACATACTGAGATCTATAATTATACAAGTTGTGTATGAAGCTAAGTATAATTTTTAAGATGGGTCGTAGTTTGATGCAAAGATTTTGAATTCTTTTTGGGTATAGTATTATACATTTTATAGAATGTCAGCCTTAACGTTTGCCACTAAATACTCACTGTATGTTGGTATTATGCCTGTCTTTGACCATAAGTCTTTCAGCATAAAATAGGTCCATGTTCTTAAAAAAAAAAAAAAGATTGTAGAGCAACAAAGCTCATCAAAAGTATGCTGTGGTTTCCCCCATGTTTGCTGGAATTATCTGAGAGAGATTCTAGTTGAGACAATAATCTTGACGGCAAAAGCTTAAACTGAAGTAGTGAATTTTTGTGTAAAAGACAAAGGAGTAAGCTTTGAAGTGTCTAGACATTTAGTGACTTCTTATTACTCTGAACCACCTGTGTTAAAATTTGTCGATGTAATTATAATATGGCATGTATTTGATAGCACCTTTAGAGCTATATATTAGAGAACAGTTAGTTGTTTTATAGGACAGTGGGTTTCTTTCTGTCTTATTTTAAAAGCTTTCCATATGCATGAGTCGTTCATCAAATATTTGTTTTGCAGGTACCACCAACGGAGACAATTCCTCAAATCAAAAAAGAAAAGCATAGTACACAAGCTAAAAATAGGGCCAAGAGGAAACCTCCCAAGGGAATGTTTCTTTCTCAAGAAGATGTGGAGGCAGTTTCTGCCAATGCTACAGCTGCCACCACAGTGCTAAGACAACTGGACATGGAATTGGTTTCAATCAAACGACAGGTACCTACCCTGTACTGCCTGGTACCTGGTAGACATTTAGAACTGACACAATGACCCAGAGGATCTTTTCCTAAGTATTCTGTTTCCATATCTTAGTAATCTGACATTTCATTGAGTTATGGGGACTTATTTAGTTACTGGCATATCTATCTCCTTGGTCATGTGCTTAATTATGGTAGGATATGAATTTTTTCTTTGCTCTGCATTAGACCTATGATTTCAGTGGTATAAGAAAATCCCAGTTAGTCAACCAATATTTATTAAGTGCCTTATTTGTTCCAGGTACTGTGCTAAGTACTAGACATACAAAGAAAGGCAAAAAATAGTCACTGCTGTCAAAGAGCTCACAGTCTTATGGGGGAGACAACCAACAACAATGTATAAACAAGATATAGACAGGATAAATTGAGAATAATTTCAGAAGGAAAGCACTCAGATTAAGGAAGACTGGGAAATGCTTCTTGAAAAAGGTGGGGCTTTAGCTGAGATTTGAAGAAAGCCAAGAGAGCTAGGAGGTAGGGATGGGAAGGGAGAGTATTCCACAGATATAAAACAGTTCACGAAAATATAAGGAGCAGGAAAATGGAGTGCCATATTTGAGAAACAGTAAAAAGGCAAGTGTCACTGGTTTGCAAGTACATGAAGGTGGGTATAAGAAGATTGGAAAGGGAGGAAGGGGCCAGGTTATGAAAGGCTTTAAAATTAGGATTTTTAAATTTTATGCTGGAGATAATAGAGATCAACACTGAGTTTATTGAATAGGGGCATGATATGGTCAGGCCTGCATCTGACATTATTTTGACAGCTAAGCAGAGGATAGAATAGGGTGGGGAAAGACCTGAGGCAAGAACACCACCCAGAGGACTAAAGTCTTCTAATATTCCAATAGGAGTCCATAGTCTATATATAGTCTATAGTAGTCCAGGCATAAGGTGATTCGGGCCTGTAACAGAGTGGTGTCAGAGGAAAGATGGCATGCACGAGAGTTGTTAGGAAGGTAGAAAAAACAGAACTTAACAACTGATTAGATATGGGGGATAAGAGGATATAAACGTGACACCAAAGTTGTAAGCATGGGTGACTTGAGAGGATGGTGGTATCCTCAACAGTAAAAGGAAAGTTAGGAAGAAGGAAAGGTTTGGGGAGAAATGTCACTTTTGGACATGTTGACTTTAATATGTCTAAGGGAAATGATTGTTTGAAATGTCTAAAAGATAGTTGGAGGTGTGAGAATGGAGTTTGGAAGAAAGGTTAGGGATAATCTAACAGGTAGATCTGAGAATCATCTGTATAGAGATAATTTATGAGATCAGTAGTGTAGAGGGAAAAGATAAGAGGGTCCAGGATACTTTGGAGACGGAGGGGTCATATGACAGGTAGGAGAAGAACTAGAAGAGCGGTACCATGAATATCAAGGAGAAGAGAGTGATCAAGAGTACCAAAGACCATTGATTGATTGGAGGTCAAGAAGGATGAGGATTGGGAAAAGTCCATTAGATTCTACAATAATTAGTAATTATTATTAGATAATTAATAACTTTGGAAAGAGCAGTTTTGGTTGAATAATGAGGTCAAAAGCCATACTGCAAAGACGGTGAGAGGAAGTGAAGGTACCTATTTAGATGCTCCTTTCAAGGAATTTAGCTGCAAAAGGTAAGTAAAAATGTAGAACGATAGCTAGTGGGAATCAACATCTGCTCTGTAATTTACAGTAGTCTTCAAGAGTTGCTTGGAATATTGAGTGTTGAAATTATTTTTCTAGGGACAAATAGCCAGTATCTGTCAGAGGCAGGAGTTAGCCCTAGTTCTTATCATTATTCCCTTATTTACAAAGTTCCTCTTTTGAGGGAATGAAATAATTATAGGAATAGAGGTTAGGGGTTGGTTCTTATTCCTCTCCCTCTGTTCAAGTGTTTTATGAGGGAAGAACTCTGACAATATTTTGTACTATATCAAAGATATAATCTATATATAATCTAATATATAGATATAATCTATAAATCAACAAAGATAAATCCACGTCAGATGTAATATCTAAAATTACCATATCAATTTGTGGTTTGCCAGCCACTTTCTCTCATGCCAGTTATGCCAAATAGATGGTACAGATCCTGTCTACAATTTACAGATGTGAAAACTGAGCTTCAGAAGAGTGACTCATCTGTGGTCACATAGCTAATAAGTGTAGGAGCTGGGATTTGTGCACAATTGTCCCAATTCTAAATTTTTTTTCTTTCTACTTCTAGCATGTTGTCTGTCATGGAGAGTCTCGTATGAGAATAATTCACTTTTTTTATAGTCTCTTTTTTTTGTTTAGTATTTTATTGTCCCCCAATTACATGTAAAAACAATTTTATTTTACTTTAGTGAGGCAATTGGGGTTAAGTGACTTGTCCAGAGTTACACAGCTAGTAACTGTCAAATGTTTGCTCTGAGGCCACAGTTGAACTCAGGTCCTCTTGACTTCAGGGCCAGTGCTCTATCCATTGAGCCACCTAGCTGCCCCCCCCCAAAAAAAAACACCCAATTTTTAACATTCATTTTTACAACTTTGAGTTCAAACTCTTTCCCTTTTTCCCCACCCCTTTAATTGAGACTGCAAGCAATTTAATATAGGTTATACATGTGTAGTCATGCAAAATGTATTTCCATATTAGTCATGTTGTGGAAGAAAACATAGACCAAAAAAAATCTGGAAAAATAAAGATAAAAAAGTATGCTTCGGTCTGTATTCAGACACCATAAGTTCTTTCTCTGGGGATGAGTAGCATTTTTCATCATAAGTCCTTCAGAGTTGTCTTGGATCATTGTATTGCTGAGAATAGCTAAGTCATTCACAGCTGATCATTTTACAATGTTGCCGTTACTTTGTGCACAGTACTTGTAACTTTGCATTAGCTTCTGTGAGTCTTTCCTGGTTTTTCTGAGAGCGCCCTTCTCATTGTTTCTTATAGCACAATAATAATTCTGTCATAATCACATACCACAGTTTGGCCCAATTGATGGGCATCCCCTCTATTTCCAATTCTTTGCCACCAGAAAAGTGCTGCTATAAATATTTTTGTTCATAAAAGTCCTTTTCCTTTTTGTTTTTTATCTTTTTTTGGATATAGACCAGGTAGTGGTATTGCTCACTCGATGGGTATGCATGATTTTTTAGCCCTTTGGGCATAGTTCAATATTGCTCTATGGAATGCTTGAATCAGTTCGCAACTCCACCAGCAGCGCATTAATGTCTCATTTTTCCCACATCCCCTCCAACACTTCTCATTTTCCTTTTCTGTCCTATTAACCAATCTAATAGGAATGAAGTAATATCTCAGAATTGTTTTAATTTGCATTTCTCCAGTGATTTAGAGCATTTTTTCATATGGCTATCGATAACAGATTATTTCACCTAAAAACTGTTCTTTAGATCATTTATCAATTGGGGAATGGTTTTTATTTTTATAAATTTGACTTAGTTCTCTATATGTTTGAGAAATGAGGACTTTATCAGAGAAATTTGCCTCAAAATTTTTTTCAGTTATGATTGCTAACTGTATTTCCCCCCTCTGTTTATTTTATTCTCTCTCTCATTTCACCCTGTCTCTCCTCAAAAGTATTTTGCTTCTGACTATACCATCTCCCCTAGTCTGCTCTCCCTTCTATCAGTATTACCCCCCCCCATTCCCTTCTCCTCCTACTTTCCTGTAGGGTAAGATAGATTTCTATACCCAATTAAGTGTGTGTGTTATTTCCTCTATGAGCCAGTTCCGATGAGAGTAAGATTCACTCATTCCCTCTTACCTCCCCCATCTTCCCTTCCACTGTAAAAGCTTTTTCTTGCCTCTTTTATGTGAGATAATTTACCTATTCTACCTTTTCCTTTCTCTCAGTGCATTCCTCTTTCACCCCTTAATTTTATTTTTTTATATATCATTTCCTCATATTCAATTCATGCCTGTGTCCTCTGTCTGTATATACTCCTTCTAACTGACCTGATAATAAGAAAGATCTTATGAATTACAAGTATCATCTTTCCATGTGGGAATGTAAACAGTTTAACCTTTTTAAGTCCCTTAAGATTTTTCTTTCCTAGAAAAGGCTGTTACAGCAGAGGGGAAGGTGAGAGGGAATGAGTGAATCTTATTCTCATAGGATTTGGCTTAAGGAGGGAATAACATGCACATTCAATTGGGTATGGAAATCTATCTTACTCTACAGGAAAATAAGGGGGGAAGGAGACAAGAGAGCAGGGGGATGATAGAGAGGAGGGCAGATTGGGAAAGGGGGTAATCAGAAGCATAGGAGGGACAGGGTCAAAAGAAAGAATAGAATAAATAGGGGGGCAGGATGGGATTAAGGGAAATAGAGTTAGTTTTTCACAACATGTCTGCTATGGAAGTGTTTTGCATAACTGCACATATATAATCTATATTGAGTTGCTTGCCTTTTCAATGAGGGTGGGTGGGGAAGGGAGGAAGGGAGAAAATTTGGAACCCAAAGTTTTAAAAACACACGTTTAAAAAAAATGTTTTCACATGCAACTGGGAAGGAAATAAGAAATACAGAAATGGGGTACAGAAGTCTATCCTGCCTTACAGGAAAATAGAAGGGGAAGGGAATAAGAGAAGCTGGGGGAGAGATAGAAGAGAGGGCAGACTAGGGGGAGGGGTATTCAGAATGCATGCCTCCTTGGGGTGGGGGGGAGGGGCGAGATGGGGTGAAAATTTGGAACTCAAAATCTTGTGGAAGTAAATGTTGAAAACGAAAATAAATTTATATTGAAAAAAAGATTTTTTTCTTTCCTGTTTACCTTTTTTATGCTTCTCTTAAGTCTTATATTTGAAAGTCACATTTTCTGTTCACCTCTGGTCTTGAATGCTTGAAAGTCCTCTATTTCATACATTTTTTTGTCCTGAAGAATTATACTCAGTTTTGCTGGATGGGTTATTGTAATCCTAGCTCCTTTGCCTCTGGAATATCATATTCCAAGCCCTCAGATCCTTTTATGTAGAATCTGATAAAACTTGCAATTATCCTGACTGTGGCTCCATGATACTTGAATTGTTTCTTTCTGGCGGTTTGCAATATTTTCTCCTTGACCTGGGTGGAATTTGGCTATTATATTCCTGGGAGTTTTCAGTTTGGGATCTCTTTCAGGGGGTGATTGGTGGATACTTTTAATTTCTATTTTACCTTTTGGTTCTAGAATATCAGGACAGTTTTCTTTAATAATTTCTTGAAAGATGATGTCTAGCTCTTTTTTTTTTGATCATGGCTTTCAGCTAATCCAATAATTTTAAAATTATCTCTCCTGTATCTATTAAGGAATTATTTTCTTCAGTGAGGTTGCTTGACTTCTCAATGAGTGAGGTGGGGAAGAAAACAGAGAGTTTGAACTCAAAAGTTTTATCCAGATTGAACCCTTATTTGTGACAAAGAAAAAAATTCAGCAAAAACATGCAGTTCAGATACCTTGTCTGGCAATCTATGCAATATTCTGTCCGTTACAGACACTCAACTTTCCTACTGTGAAAATGGAGAATATCTCGTTTCTAGAACTCATCTTTCAGTTACTCAGAGCTGAACTTCTTTTAGTGATTTTCGTTTACATTCTAGCTATGTATTATTTTCTTGGTTCTGCTTCTTTCATTATGCATCTTCCTGTACAAATCTTCCCAGGTTTGTGTCCTTTCTTACTGTATCATACTATGCCAATACTTTCTCATACCATAATTTGTTGTTGTTTGGTCATCTTCAATTATGTCCAACTCTTTTGTGACCCCATTTGGGGTTTTCTTGGCAAAGATGTTGGAGTGGTTTGCCATTTCTTTCTCCAGTTCATTTTGTAGAAGAGGAAACTGAGGTAAACAGGATTAAATGACTTGCCTAGGGTCACACAGCTAGTAAGTCTCTCCTCTCCTCCCACCGGATTTGAACTTGAGAAGATGAGTCTTCCTTGACTCCATTCCCAGCGCTCTATCCACTGCCTTTGCTCTCTCTTTGACTTGCTTTGGGTTATGTGCTTAGTGGAATTGTTGGGTGAAAGGCTATGAACAACATAATTTTCTTCTGTAACTCCAAATTTAAATCTTGTACAGCTGGACTGCTTCAAAACACAGCTAACTGTCTGTCAGTCAGTGTTTGGCTCTTTCTTTGTAAGTATCTTACATAGAACAAGTTTTAGCAATGAAAGTGATCTCAATAATGGCCATTTAGTCCAATACAAACCTGAGAAGGGATCTACTCAGTAGCATCTTTGCTTGAAGGCTTTCAAAGAATGGGACTCCGCTACCCTTTTTTTACTTAATATATTTGATTAAGTTTTTAATTCCAAATTCTATTCTTCCCTCTTTCTCCCCTTCCCCTTCCCCGAGATGGTAAGCAATCACATATAGGTTATACATGTGCAATCATGTAAAACATTTCTGTATTAGTCATTTTTTACAAGAAGACTCAAAAGAAAAAGAATGAAAGAAAGTGAAAACTAGCATGCTTCAGTGTATATTCAAACAATGATCAGTTCTTTGTCTGGAGGTGGATAATGTACATCATTAGTCCTTTTGGGTTGTCTTGGATCGTTTTATTGCTGAGAATAGCTAAGTCATTCACAGTTCTTCATCTAACAATACTGCTGTTACTGTGCACAGTGTTTTCTTGCTTCTGTTTACTTCACTTTGTATCAGTTCATGTAAGTCTTTCCAGATTTTTTCTGAAATCATCCTGCCTATCATTTCTTATAGCACACAATGATTTCACTACCTTTTAGCAAGACCATTTTATCTTTGGATTGTTCTGATTATTAGGAAGATTTTCCTTAAATCAGGCTGAAATTTGCCTCTCTCCAACTACTAACCATTACTCTGAATTTTGTGCTCCTCCAAGTAGAAAAAGCCTAATCTTTTTTTAGAATGAGAACCCTTCAAAAACTTGAAGTATAGCTGTCATACTACTAATCAGTTAAGATCTTTTTGAGTATTGACTATTTTTTCATTGTCGGCTATACAATCCAATTTCGTGTCATCTGCAAATTTCATAAATTTTACCTATATCTTCACATACGCAAATTGATAAAAATGTTAGAACTAGGTGCAGATACCTGAGTTTTCCCACTGCAGATTGAATTATATTTTGTTTTGCTTCTTGTTTAATTTCTCCTTTTGGTCATGGCCATTTTCTTTGAACTATGCAAAATCAGTAATATTAGTGGCATAATTCCATGGGTATACTGACATATATTTTTGCTTATATTTGGTACCGAAGCTTTACCTCTCGTTTTTCTGACCTGTGCCATTTTACCTTTGGCAGCCTGTTGGCCCTCTCCTTCCAGGGTCTCATCAAGTTAGTGCCAGACGTAGTGCAGAAACCTGAGCAGTTTTAGCCCTATTGCCAGTCAAGCAGTAGCCTTATTGAAACTTGAGCAATGCACCAGCCCCAGCCTACCCAGCAGCAAGGACTACAGACATGTGTAGTGACACCAGGCCATTAGTCTACTTGCACGGTTTGTGAAAGGTAGTCCTTGTTAGTTTTTTGTTTTTATTTTTTTTTTATAATGCTATTAGAGTCCCACATAGTTATTGAGACAAAATAAATTTGAGAGATTTGCTAATGTGAACATAATTTTAAGCATCTTTTTTACTAGCCCTTTATTAAAAAAAAAAATGTATATGGGAAAGAGCACCCAAACTTAGGAATATTGGATTCAAATCTTGGCAATGTAAATGAATAGTTGTATTATCTTGATCAAGTCATTTAATCCTGCTAAGCCTCTGTTTATAGCTACTTGTATTTTCTAATTTGTAGGAATATGAGGCAGCACTAAGTAAATGTTCAAGTGTTCTACAAATGTGAGCTGCTTTTTTTTTTGTTCATTTAAAAAAAGAGTTTTTTCTACTTCCAGATTCAGAATATTAAACAGACAAACAGTGCTCTCAAAGAAAAACTTGATGGTGGAATAGAACAATATAGACTTCCAGAGGTAAAACTGTTCATACTGTATCTTTTTTCTCAATAACCTTATCATATTTGCTATTTAGTCTATTTATTCCTGGTCATCAGTTTGGGGGAGGGAGGGAGGATAAGTATAACATGCCAATATTTTAGGATGTTGAATTGAATAGGAAAATGAAAACAGTTCATCTCTCGTAGAGTTCCAAGTGTAAATGGGCTAATAATGACTTATTCTGATGACATTTAGGTTATTCAGAAGTTTAATGCACGTTGGACCACAGAAGAACAGCTTCTTGCTGTACAAGGTAAGAAAGGAGTTATGTTTTTTCTTTTTGCTTTGCAATGCATAAAAGTTGACTTACTAACATTAGTCTGACTGGATAGGTATTAGAACTACTAATTTACTTGTGGATCTTTGGACCAGTGACAAAATCCAAAAAGAAAATAGATCTGACATCGTGACTGATTCTGGAGCTTTTGAATTGAGATTAAATTTGGGATTTGTGTATATTGAGTACCTACCTACCTGTCTTCAGCTTAAATTCATAGAAATTTGTCTCTTTCCAGAAGATACTCCAACCCTGACAGACCTCTCCAGCATAGGGTGTGCTTTTCATGTGTCCTTCCAGCAGACACGTGTCTCCTTTCCCCCTCACCCCAATATACCACCAGGCTGATAACATTGCTTAATCATAGCTATAGGACTGGAACGGATCTTAGAGACCATCTAGGCAACTACTTTGGTTTACAAATGAGGAAACTTATGCCCAAAGCAGTTATTTTGCTTCCTTTATTTTCTTTGATGCCACCTTATAACCCTCCTGCCACCAATGTTTGCTGTCCTTTCCTTTGAAGTTTCACTGTGTCTCTCTATACTAGACATTTTTTTTTTATTACTATATCCTGGACACTGTCTTTTCTTGAGAATTTTAGTGTCTGAGTCTAATCTAGCCCTTGCTTAAAATTTGAGTTTCAGTATATGTTTAATGCCTCTCAAATACCCTGGCCTCCCAGTTCATCAATCTCCTTAACTACCATCATTCCATTTCAGTTACCCACAGAGTTAGTGATACTTTCTCTAATATTAACTTCTTGTCTTTCGATCACCCCCCCCTTAAATTTTTTCTTCATATTTAACTGTGACTTCAGTCTCCTTATTCTTACTTGTTTTCTCAGTCTATCACTCATGCTTCTGGCCTAAAGTTTCTCCATTCAGTCTTTATTCCTTGTCCTTTTGCCATTAATGTTTTGCCTTAATATCAACTCTATTATGCTTCTTATATTTATTCTTCCAAATTACTTCCTCTCTTCTTAAGCCTCTGTATATCACCCTTTCCCTTTGGCTTAGGACTTAGCTTCCTACTTTATTAAGAAAATTGTGGCCCTTCTATTGAGGGAAAGGTCACCCTTTTTCTTGCTAAAGCCAACCACACTACTTCTGCCTAAGATTCCTTCTGGGAATGTCTCTCTTTCTCCCCTCCCCTGATCCTGGCCCTGGCATCCCCTTCTTGGCCCTTTAATTGCCAGACTCCTGGGAAAAGTCTACTTACTGTCTCCACTTAGTTACGAATTTTTTCGTTTCTCAGGGTTTTATAACCTTGTTTTTAACAATCCCTCTTCTCCTCTGAAATTGTTTCTTTGAAAGTTACTAGTATTAATTATCTGCTAAATCCAATGGTCTGTTCTTAGTAGCTTTTCTTTGCAACTTTTGGCACTATTAACTGCTGCAAACCCCTTCTCCCTCCTGTTCCTCCCTCTAGTTTTGATATAAGCCTTCCTCCTTTGGTTTCATTGACACCACACTTTTCTGGTTTTGCCCTTGCTTTTCTGACCAGATCTGTCTCATTATCCAGAGGCTATCTCCTAAGCATAGACATAGCCTAAATCTTTGTCCTTGATTTATTTTTTTCATTATATACTTTGTTTTGATGGTTTCATTAGTCCCTCTGGGATTAAGTATCTATATACATGTATATGACTCCTCATTCTACTTTGTTTTTATTTCAAATGTGCATATTTTCTATTTCACAACTCCCATCCCTTAGCAATTTTAGTAAGCTTCTTGAGGGCATAAACTATTTTGATTTTTTTTTCTTATGTCCAGTGCCTAGCAATACTCCTCATATATTGTGAGTGATTAACAAATATTTGCCAAATTTAAGCCGTCTTGTGGTGGTCTTTCAGTTATCTTATGAACAACTAGATATTATGAAAGCCATTCTCCTGGTTGATTTAAGTCCACACTGTGCTCTAATTTATAAATCTGGCACTCTCTGTTTTGTGTAACCAGCATAGAGTACTTGATAGGCCCACTACCTTTCAAGTTTTCATCTATCTAATGAAACTTTAACACCAAAGGAATTTGTGCTTTCATCAGTGTGGGCACTCATTCCATTGAATCAAATCATAATTCTTCTATATCTTTAGATTTATTCTTGGCTGACAGGTAGTCCAGCTCCGTCTAGCCTTTTTCCTCCACTCTTGGTAAGGGTTTTTTCTTAGTATCATACATTCTCCTTTGGGGGTGGGTGGGATACAGAGTATTATTTTTCTTTGGCACTAAATAAAATGACTTTTTAATTCTTTAGCAATCAGGAAATATGGCCGAGATTTCCAGGCGATCTCAGATGTCATTGGAAACAAATCAGTGGTACAAGTGAAAAACTTTTTTGTAAATTACCGACGCCGCTTCAACATAGATGAAGTCTTACAGGAATGGGAGGCAGAACATGGCAAAGAAGAAACCAATGGAACCAGTACCCAGAAACCTATAAAGTCCCCAGATAATCCCATTAAAATACCTGAAGAAGAGGAGGAGGTAAATCTAGAGCCCAAAATCTGGCTCTTTGGCAACAAATGTTCAAGTCAGTTTCTAATGTTTTTGTGATTTTGACAGTAGAAATATTTTTATCCTTCAGTTACAATGAAACTAACAGCATCTTGCATTTTTATAGTACTTTAAGAGTTGCAAGGGCTTTCCTCGTTACCATGTGAATTGGGTATATTAGTCATTTGATAACTTGTACATACTGTAGAAAAGAGTATTTCTACTTTATATATCCTTCAATCAATTTTTGATCACCTTTGTGTGAATAATGTACAATGTAGATTCTATGGCAGTTTTTGATCATCTTTCAGCTTTTCCAGTTAGTATGGGTCACACATTTCTATCAGGCTTGTAGTTCCTGTTATGTAGAAAGCACTTTTATTCTAGTTCTATGGTTTATTGATTATAGTTGATTTCCTCACAGCAGCTGGGGGTGGGAGTAAGAGATTCCTCCCCTGGACCCAGAGTGAAGTAACAGTGACCTTGCAATGACCTCTGTGGTCCTTCTACACCCAGCCCTGAAGACAAAACAGAACTAGATGTGTAGATGGCAGCAAAAGTTATTTTACAGAAGAGGAAATCACAGCTCAGAGAGATTAAATTATTCATCATGTTATTATGAGCAGTATTAAGTCATTGTCATCCACTCATTAGAGTGGTCTCCCTGTTCATTAGCAACAAATATTTACCCTCTCTATGTTTCTGGAAAATGGTATATGTGAGACAAAACATAAAACTCAAATTGTTCCTCTCTAATCTTCCTATACCTGTTAGTTGTTGTCATTATGACCTTCAACCCTTCCTTTCATATCAACACTGTTTTGATCTCACTTCTCTCCCTGATACCTTGAGACAGTGAGGTAGTACAGTGGATAGAGCACTGGGCAGAGGTTCCCAAAAGGGGCAATACCACATCCTGGGAGGAGTGCTGGAATGATGGGGGAGAGGGGCACAGTAGTAACCTCAGGTGCAATCTGGGGGCATTGCATAAAAATAAGGGGGCTGTGGAAGCATAAAGAAAGATAAGAAGAAAATTTTGAAAAACCTTTCATACATGTTTCATCTGTTGTGTAACAGGTTAAAGTAGTAGTGATTACATTATTTTCCAAATAAACATACAAAATGCAAGTTATAACCAATCAGTGGTCAAGTCCACTGACAGGTCTTAACAAGGAAGTGTTGTCAGGAGAGCGTGTCCCACATTGTTGGGATATGCTTGTAATGACTTGTTTATGATACTATATGGTTACATGATGCAATATTACATCATCAAAATTCAGTGCAGAAAAAAATGCATAAATTTACAATAAATTATTAAATTTAAGATGCATCATTTTTAAAAATTTTGATATTTTTTAAATGATGCAAACTTTAAAAAAGACAAAACGTTAAAGAGTTTAACCATTAAAGAAAGTAGATATCCAGGGGACACTGAGTAATTTTTTTAAGAGGGGGGGTGGTAGGTCAAATAAGTTTGGGAACTTCTGGCTTAGAGTCTGGAAGACCTGAGTTCAAATATGACCTCAGACACTTAATGGCTGTGTGACCCTGGCAAATTACCTAACCTGTGGCTGCCTCAATTTCCTCAACTGTAAAATGGGGGTCATAATAGCAACTAACTCACAGGGTTGTTGAGTCAAATAAGAGAATATTTATAAAGTGCTTACTTAGCATAATGCCTGGCAAGCAGTAGGAGCTTAATAAATGTTTATTAACCTCTTTTCTTTGGTGGTCGTCAGGATCCAATGAAATAATGTATGTAAAGCCTACTTAGTAAACTTTGAAGTGTTCTATAAACTGTAACAATAATAGCATTTATGTTAAGACTTCAGTTCCTTAAAGGATTGAAAAGAGTTCCTTCCTTGTGATTTATATCTCAACCTTAAATATAAAAGAGGACACTTCCCTTAGGGGGGGTCTTAGCCCTAGTCACTTTAGTGAGTGGGAAGCAATGATTTTATCTAGACCAGAGTGTGTTGATTATCACCATTAACTTATTTCCCTGGGAAAGGCCATAGTTTGTTTTTTTTTCCCCATCACCTGATGACTTTCATTATCAGGGTCTCATGGATAAGGATGAAGTATGTTGTTAACAAGGATGTTGGGAATAGGAAAAAGTGAAAACCTTAAAGTATTACACAATTTTATGTAAATTTGCAGTACACAAATTCGATTTTATGTAAAAATTCTGAAAGAAGGCTGTACTCCAAAAAAACACGTATGTTAACTTTACTGTGCAGTAATGTGTTCTCTCTCTGTTCTTGCCCCTCTGCTTGGTGCTCTATGGCCTTCTACTTTTTTCCTTCCACCAAAAAAAAAAAAAAGCCCTCCAAGTGAAAGGAGAAGAAGAGAAGCAGAGGAACTATCAGCACCAGATCAGGGGCTTGGCTTGAGGTCTCTGGCTCTGAGAGAGGAGAGCTTTGTCCTGCTGTGCCCATCCACGTGTCCAACCCCCTTTTGTATCCATCTTTTGTCCCTTTGTGCTCTGATAACATATGTCTGTTCCCAGCCCCTGTGTCTTGAACCATGTGGCAGCCCTCCCCCTGCCAACCCCATAGTGCAGCCTCCTACCAGCAAATTCACATTACATAAAAATTGCTTTATGTAGAGGTATGTGGAACTTTTATAAAATGAGAATTGTCTTAGCAGCTTACATTTATATACTGCTTTTATAATTATGAATTTTTTATAATCATTTCATATTGGTTTTCCTCACAGTTCCTGTAGAGGTAGGGAAGGTAAGCATGGCTATAAAATGAATATAGTTTGAGAGTAAAACCTACATATATGTTAAGAAAATGCATCCGACCACTTAATGGACAGATACTAGCTTTATTTTATAGAAGGAGAAACCAAAGTTCAAAGGTTAAGTGACTTGTCTAAGCTTATACAAATAATGATTGACAGGATCAGTGCTCTTTAAACTTAGGTTTTCTTACTCCCAATTTAGTGTTCTTTCTACCACAAAGGAAGTATGATATATAACAGAATGAGTCCTGAACATGGGTGTCTTAAGATCAGCTCTAAGCCAATACTTTTAATATCAGTTTCCTCAAATAGAAATCATACTTATATAATCTGTCTTAAAGGATCAATGTCGATTGTTATTGGCTATGATAATATGTTAATACCTTTGAAATAATCTAGTCCAATTATGGCTTTTTACAGATAAGAAAAGTTTAAGTTGGTTCAACTCGTGCAACTACTTAGTGGTAAAACTAGAATTAGAACCCAGGTTACTTATTGTCCACTCTAGTATAGTCTTATTATATCATATTTCTTCTTTCCACTCCCAGTACTACCTTGTTCCAAATGACTAGTTTCACCTCCACTCCACAGGTAGGTAGGGAGCCAGGGAGTTGTAGTTTTAACCTGTCTTATCTTTCATTGGCTTGTCTTTTCCAAACATCAAATGATTCCAAATAATTTATTTGAATTTATGTAGTGGAGTAGAGTACTAGCTTTGGACTAGCAGGGCTAATTTGTGGCTGTGTAAATTTGTCCAGATTGTAGAAATTATGTCTTTTAGGCCTTAATTTCTTCACCTGTGGACAATAATCCCTGTATGCCCTGCTTCAAGAATTATTGTGGTGATCAAATAATCTAACTGAAAGCAAAATACTAAACAAATACAAAATGATGGTATTATTTCAACAAGTTAGGTTTATTTAGCAAACTTGTTTTTCCCCATTGTTCACTAACTTGTACTTAGTTAAAAATGTTCCTATAGATAGTAGGATGATAGTATTGAACATTTGATCTCATCTTCCTAAGTTCATATGGGAGATTACTTGGTATTTGATGCTGGTAATGTCTTTTCCTTTTCTTAAAAAAAAAAAAAGAAGGTTGATAAATTTGGTGTTGTTAGAGAAGATAAACCCAGATTCCCAAGACAACCTACAAAATATAGTGTGCCCCCCTCCCTTCCCCCAGCAACAGTTTTGCTTCTATGGTTTGTTGGGGAATATTTTTTAATATTAATAATTTTTTTTATCAATGTTTGTTTTATTTTTGGCCATTTGTTGAAGATAATGTTGTCTTCATTTATCTGGTTGCAGTAATTATGCATTTTATTTGATTTTTAATCTTTTTAATACATTACTTATTAATTAAGTTATTATATTATTATTATATAATAATATATAATGATTATGTATTATATATAATATATAATGTATAAATATATAATTATATATTATATATAATAGTAAAATATTATTATTAAATAAATTTAAAAATATTTATTAATACAATACTTACATTACTAAAAAATGAAGATGGATTTCCTCTTCTATCCCCATTATACTAATAATTCCCCTCAGTTTTTCTGCTTTTGCATTAATTTACATAAAGAAATTACTCAGTCCCTTAGTAGACTGAGGGTCGTATGTTCTGATGCCATTTGGGGCCTTTCCAGGGTCAGGGCTAAAGAAAGAGATTTGAGGCTTTCAGATTTCCACCTGCTGGAAGAAAGCTGCTTCAGAAGGAAAGGGAAAGACAAAGAATTTAACCTTATGGCTGCCCTTTGCCTTTGGCAGACGTAGATAACACAATTCATTGCTTTGGGTCGGACATGCTAGGGCTGTCAATAGTAGAGTAGCATAGGAGGAGGGAAAAGTCTATCATACAGTCTGTTTTTAGAATTGTCCAAGCAATGAACAATGGGTCAGTCCCAGTTTTAATTTAAAAGCCATTTTCCTTCAGAGTTCAGAAGGAACTGATTGATCCCTGGGTCTCTAGCCTAATACAGAAGAGGTGGTGAGGTAAAGGTTTTAAATGCCCTGAAATCCAAGTGTTTGGCTCCTTGTTGAGCTCCTAATCATATACCACCATACCTTTTCCATAGTTAAGGAGCAGAAACAATAGTGTCACTTAGGAGGGGGCTCTTAGAAACTACCTAGTCCAAATCTCTCATTTGTAGCAGCAAAGGTTCAATATGGTAGAAGAAGGCACTTGATTTAGACTTAGCACCTGTGTTCATATCTTGGCTTTGCTTTTTGATGTCTGTATGAACTTGGGCAAGTCACTTTCCCACTCTGCCTCAGTTTTCTTATTTGTAAATTTAAGACGTTAGACTGAGTGGGTCATCTCTGAGGTCTAGTGCAGCTACATGAAGCCCTAAGGGGCTTGACAATTGGAAGCAGAAGCAAGATAAGTACCAAGATCTCTAATTCTCTGTCCATTGTTTTTCCCTTTTAATATTTACAGGAAATAAAAGAAAATTTAGGATGATTTGTAATTTGAGGCAAAGGAGGTTTGTGAAAATGAGTAACTTTTTCATGTAGTCAGCTTAGAATCACTTGACTTAACTAGAAAAAGTTTGTGATGTTTTAAATAAGTTGTCAATAATTTGAAGCAGATCAGAATTAATAGGCCAGTGGTTTACTTTGAAATATCTTTCCCATGTTATTCAGGTGTTACTAATTGTATAACCCATGAACAAGTTGCTAAATCTCGTTTAGCCTCAGTTTCCTCATCATTAAGGTAGCACCTACCTCACAGAGTTGTTATAATAAAATCAAGTAAATGTATGTAAGACCTTTTTGTAAGCCTTAAAAGTGGAGTTGTATGTATCGGCTGTCATTATTAGTTGTATTGCTATTATCGAAGATTGTACAGTGAGCAGGGAACCTTGGTTTCCTGACTGCTGTGCCGCTTCTCTTCCATTGATGCCCAATTAGTTGTTTTGTCTAATACTTGATTTTCTCCTCCTCTACAGGCCACTTCTGTTCTTGACGTCAGATATGCATCCGCTTCGTGAAAGACTTGAGTAGCTTAGAATAATTTGCATTAACTACTGTTAATCCAAGATATCAGGTATTACCGAACCTCAGACAGCCATCTGCATCATACCTATGTGGACAAGCAGCTATTACCAAAAAAGGCAAACACTTCCAGTCCTGTGCTGCAACTGCCTTAATTCTTTGCTCATTCCTCTGCACTGCCTCCACTTCCCAGTTTGCTTTTCATTTCATCGGTACCTGCCTGAATGCTGGGGGGAAATTGCCACATCCCACATAGCTTGTGGGTTTGTTTTTGAACTGTCTCCATAAGTACTCCCAACAGCCTCAAAGTAATCGGCAGGGAGTGGAAGGGGGAGAAGAGTCAGCTCAGAAGGTCTAACTCTGTATTGCCTGTAATCTTTGCTTTGTGCATATTGTAATTATAATAGTGACATTCTTAGCTTTCCAGGAAGAGCCTCCTATTCATTTTTGAGTTGACTGACCACCCAGACATCATGCTTCCTCTGAAAACATAGTCTGTGTTTGTAAACTGCATCGTGACTTTTTAGTGCTCAGCGTTCCAATGCCATTCATGGTTTCCTTAACTTAGGTCCTAATGATGGTTTATAATTATTAGATCATAATGGTTTAATGGCAGGTGTCTCTTTTAAGCCAACTCCTAATAATCTGTCTTGGTGGAAAACTCACTAGTAGTGAACAGACCAGCCTGGGTTACTGTAGTTTCAAGGTTTGGTTGAGTACAGTGCCACCACACTCATCATTTTGCATTGTAACTCTGGTCAGGCACACCTTCCCTTACACTCTACTCCCTGCCTTTCTCAGTACCCCGTAGAGATTGAATCCAAACAACTTTATCTGGTGCTTATCCATTTGGAATTGGTGCCTTTCACATTTGGCATCCATCCATATCATCATTATGCTTCAATGTCATCTTCTTTCCTTAAAGCTTGCTGCTTGCCAAAGATGATTGTATTTGTATGAGGGGTGGCAAGCATGAGTGTGCTTGCCATCGATCCTGACAGGAGCACAGGTTTAGAATTTCTCCTTATTTATGAGTGGTCGAATGGCTGGTGACTACTTTATGAAAGCTCACTGCACTTCCCTTTCTTCTTTCTACAACTTGCCTCTCAGTCACAACCTGCTTTGTGTACCTATGCGTGAACATATGATAACAAAAATACAAATGGGTCAAAGGGTAGAGTGTAGAAATGGTTGGTCAGCTTTTTGATCTAACAAGACTCTAATAAGAAGAAATATATTCCAAGGTAGTATGATAATGCCTTTTGGTTAGACTACTAAAACATGTCTAACCAAGGCTCTAAGATTTGGAGAATAGATTTTTTTTTTAACTAGGCCTTGTGTATACAAAGGTGGAGGAGGAGCAGACTAGCAAGCCACAGATTCAGATCCATGTTAAATTTAGCCTATGTTTTTCTAGGTATAATTAACTTTTCCCTAGCATCATCAAGTTTGATTTCTAGTTTCTGTTTTCAATACCAAAAGCAAGAAAAATGCTTGCCAGATGCTTTAAGGTACAACATCTTTCTTAAGAACTTAAAATATGCAATCAAAATTGGACGTGTGTTTTAAGTCCCTCTCTGCACCTTGCTTTTTAAGCTAATTGATCCTCTGCTTAGGAAGAGGGTCATCTGGGAACTGTAGATTTTTAGAAATGCTTCTGGAGAAAGAGTACTCAAGTACAGAAGTCAGGAAAAACAGGACATTTTCTTTTCCTTTTTGTACCTACACAAGGTCTGTGTGTTGCTTAATGGAACCTACTGAGGAAATCAGGGGAGGAAGGATGAGAGGAGCAGCACCTGGTTGCTGTTGCATGATGACAGTGGGAGTAGAACAATACTAGAAAAATCACAACAGCCAGCCTGCTGCTGAATTGGGGAATTGGCAGCGATGGTGGAGGGAAGAAGAATCAAGGAATGATTTTGCACATCTTTCCAAAGCAGCAACACATGCTTTCTCTATGCTAATGTCAGGACATCAGCAGCTTTTCCTGTAGGAGCCCTCTTGGCCTTGCCAAAAAACTCATTCCTCCTACCACAAATATTCTGATTAAGAAATAGTCCCTTATGGCAGTGCTTTGGAAGCCAGATGCTATTGTTTGTAATGTAGAATGGCAAACAGGTCAATACCACCATGTCTTTAATCTTTAGTGAATTAGGCTCCAGTCCCATCAAGCTACCATTCATGTTTCCTAGCAGCTGAGTTTTGGCACACTCCCTAAGGGATAATAAATAGCATATAATTTTCACTTGATAGAGGGAAAAAATAAGTGACCCATCTTTGCTTGACTGCTGCCATTGTAGCTATATACATAAGATAGCACTGTATTTTTACCTTTGATTTTCATTACACTGTCTTTGCAATGATGTTTTAAATGTAAGAAATCACTTAGCTTTAAAAGCTAAGCAGTTTGGTCTTATTTATATTAAGACCCCTTTTAATGGATCAAGAATTATATTCATCAAATGGTGGCATTCAGACGTGTGAAAGTCTGCATTGATAACAGCAGAAGATGTAGTGTTCACTTAAATTTTGTTTTCTTAAAAATTATCAATGTGAATGTCATAATTATATAAATTTTTGTGGAAATGGGAATTTATTTCTCCTAATTATAAGTTATTGTGCAAAATATAGTATCATTAAAGCAAATGATAGTTTAACTTTTAGTTTAGAATCCCTCAGAGATATAAAGTGTATTACATATGCATAAGCAAATTACATTTGTTTTATTTAATTTTTCATAGGTGTGTAAAGTACTAGATAAAGTTTTTTCCACTTAACCATTTAAACACCTCGTTACTTGAATATTGTGTTAACTGTTCCTGAAACACAGTGATCAATTTTGTAATATAGCTCTCTTTACCAAGGAAATGACTATGCCTCAGTTGTGCTTAATAGTTGAGCAGTTGTGGACAATTACAGTGTATGCTCTAGTCCACAGGAGCCATAGGTAGTATATATAACGCAACCACTGTGTTGTGTCTTGATAAGTTCATACCAATAAAGAAACTGATTTCCTGATAGTTATTTGTAAAAGTTTTCAACCCAGAGGATCCCTTAATGGTCACATAAGCCTCTAATCTACAGAAGGTCATTGGGTTTTAAAACTCTAACCATGGTGTTCAAACTAGTTTTTAAAATGTCCTTTAAAAAGTTCTCTTATCTATACCACTTAAGTATATTCATCGTCACTTTAAATTTAAACTGTGCCCTTTATTCGTCTTTCTAAATATCTGATATACTGTTGGTATAATTGCACACCAAATATGAGCCAAACAGTGCATTACAGCTCACTGGGCCACTGCTAGGTGAGCCCAGGGCAGCCATGGGCCCTACATACGGCGCCAACCAGAAATAAAGAGCCTCTCACTTTCCCCTGTTTTAAAGGTTATTGACGAGTGACCTAGGACTCAAGCTTTTAAAACAAAATTAATCCCTTGAGGTAGTTTTTAGCTAGTGTGATGATGCTGATGATCTCTGACGCAGGGGCCTAATTGCCTACCATCTTTCAGCCACTCCCTGGATTTGTGGAGCTTGTTCTGTTGATCGTGAAGCACAATTGCAGTGGCAGTTCAGAAGAAGGAAGGTCAGTATAGTCTATGCATGTTGTATAATAATGAGTGTTTACAGTCCTAGTCTCTGAAGATAAAAATTCATACTGGATTGTATAGTGTTATTCCATTATGTAGATTTTATCAATTTTGTTAAGTGCTTTGAGACAGCTTAAAAAGTTTTTCAAGATTTTAAAAGATGTATGAGGTTAAGTTTGCAAATATAATGGCAATGCTGTATAGCTTTTGAAGTGATAAATTACACGTTGGAATTTTAAAGTATGTTGTAATAATGCTGTTGTAAGTAATATTTTAACGTCTCTTGGGCCTGTTTTTTATTATTCAGCACATTTGTTGTGGTGAATGTTCATAGCATTATAAACCTGCTAAGCCATTGAAAAGTAAAAGGTAACTTCTGTTTTTCTGATTATCATTTTATTGTAAATGAAATTATAGTGGAGACTGAAAAATTCATTTGTGAAATTCTGCATAATTCAGTTTTTTCTATGATTTGCAATGTTTGCTGATATCAAATAAAACCTTTTCAAGCCATGGATGTAATAAAACATGGAGTAAAACCACCTCTCCCTCCCAGTGAAATGTTCTAAACGGTTCCTTTCTGTTTCTGTATTTGGTCTTGGTATTGTCAAGGATGTAGTTTATCTAAAAACATCATCCCTGGAAATGAGCTGGTCCTACCCTCTTGTCTTCATTCTTGATCCCTTCCTGAGATAAAGAAATCAGATTTGTTTGGGTTCTACCTGTATGTGCATTTGATCAGGAAGAAAATCTCTCTTTATCCAGCAGTTAGGTCCATAACCCTCTTTTCAAACTAAAACCACTTACTTCTTACATTTAAGTTTCACAAAGAACTGAAAAGTCAACAAATGTCACAGCTCTTAGAATGGTACTAAGATTGTTCATAAAGGACCTCACTAATCTTCCCTTTTTTAACCTTTTAATCAGAATATTTGTTGAGCCTAAAACTGTGAAATATGGGTTTGAGCATAGTTATTGCCTTGGGTTAGCCTACATTAATCCCATATTTCAGATGGACAAGTAAGGTACTTGGTAATATTTTGAAACTGATTCTTGGTGACCCACATGTTGATATGAACTGGGTTGTGGCTGTTTAAAGAGTCCGAGTTAGCTTAGCTACCTGTTTTTCTTTTTTCCAAGGTTAAGCAAAGAAAGAACAGTCAGGGGTTTACCACAGATGGCAAGTGTTTAATAATAGCCACCTAGCCACTCCTGAACCCAAGGATACTAAATTTTGGGACAAAGACTTATCCCACCCATGGAACCTTGCAGCACTAAAGCTACAGGTTGGAGTTAAGGTGATCTGTCATTGTTTCCCTTTTTATAATCTCACCAGAGGGAAGCAGTGTCTACAAGGATAATGTCAGCCCAGATAATTTGTTGCATTGGTAGTCAAATGGGTACCCATTGTAGCTATGATCAGTGGACTGATGAGAAGTAGATTCCTTCCCATTTGAGCTCTAGGAGTCTAGGTAACTTCATATGTGAATCAAAAGGCTTTATTAGTGCTATGTTACCATGTATATAAAACATTATAAAATATAAGAGACAGCTTTGTAATTAGATGCATACTTAATGTATATATGTGTACATAGATCTATACATACAGGATGTCCCAAAAGTTTTAGTGTAGTTTTAAGCTTTAATTACTTAAGAAGCATAAATGCTACAAACTTATTAAAAAATTGGGGGGGTTAATTATTTGTTTTTAAAATATTGATAACTGGGGCAGCTAGGTGGCACAATGGATAGAGCCCTGGCATCAGGAGCACCCGAGTTCAAATGCAGCACCAGACACATAAGACTAGCTGTGTGACCCTGGGCAAGCCACTTAACCCCATTGCCTAGCCCCTCTCCCCCCAAAAAATCCTTAAAATATTAATAACTACCATCTTATGCTATATATTGCTCTAGTGCAGTGGTGAACCTGGGACCTCAAGGCTACATGTGGTTTTCTAGGTTCTTGGGTGCAGCATTTTGACTGAGTCCAAGTTTCACAGTACAGATCCTTTTAAGTTTTATTAAGAACATCTCAAGAGCAAGTTTTGGATCCCTACATGACAGTTTTATATGACCTCATAAGAAAATGAAGATAAGGTAACCAAGCAAGAAGACTTCCTTTTCCAAATTACTGGCTTTAGATTGTTTCAACCAGAAATTCGTACATAATGATAGGGTACCCCCCCATCTTGTTAAGATTAAAAACTAAGTGTAAGAAAATTTTAAACAAACTCAAATTTTTAATAAATTTTATAAGTTTTTTCAGAATTTTTTCTGGTCACATTTACACTTCTAAAATTGATAAAGCTTAAAACTACTCAGACTTTTTGGATAGCTTGTACACCCTATTTATATTAAAGATTTTGTGTTTATAGACGAGAGTATGGAAGTGGATAGAGAGTAAGATTCAAGAGGGGGGAAAATGTGACATGCCATTATGAACAAAGTTTGCTTCTTGACTACACGTTGGTGCCACTGACTCTAATCCTGACTTAGCTCCCCTGAGGTGAACTTTATCATGCTTTAAGACCACAACGGAGGCAACAGCTTAAAAAAGTTTTATTGATGTCTTCATTCTACAGCTAGTTCCAAGATTGATCATTGTAATTAATCTGAGTATAGCTGCTTGTATCACTTTACATTTACGTTATTCTAATCGTGTCTGCTGTACTTATTGTGATTTCTTTGCTGTGCATCAGTTCATACAGCTCTGCTCATGTTTAGATTGATCGGTCATTGTTTTTTTACTCCCATTGATTCATGTACCACATTATGGTCAGCTGTTTCCCGATTAATGGTCATCTACTTTGTTACTGAATTTCGTTTGTTTTGCTACCACAAAAAATACTACAAGTATTCATATAGAGAGCCTTTTTTGTGTGTGTCTTTGGTCTCATTGGGGTATAAGTCCACTAATGGGATCACTGAACCAGTTCACATCTCCATCAACATTGTATTAGTAAAGCATTTACCTTCATGTGTATAAATGGAGTGTGAAGTGGGGATTACTATTGAGTTAAATTTCAACGATTTTCAGGTGGCGATTATGGCAATAGTGATACCTAGCTCTTATTGACTTGATTTCCTTTTGCCTTGAAGATATTTGGAATTGAATCACTTGGTCCCACTATTTTTCCTTTGATTAAGGAGCTCTATCCTTAGCATGTGAGCTCCTTGAGGGCAGGGATCATGTTTTTGCTTTATTTCTAGTAGTTGGCACAGTGTCTGGCCCTTAGTGAAAACAATAAATGCCAGTTTACTAACATTACAACATATTTAAATGTTAATGCTGTTGTTCAGAAAACCACATGATTGGGAGGGAGGAGCCAGAAGTGTTATGTTGTTCTGTTGAGCACAAACAACTTGAGCCTTTTACCTTCTAAAATATCCTCAATCAAGAGTTCATTCCGGTGTTTGGGGTTTTGTTTTAATATTTCTAGTGACAAACTTAGTTAACTCTTGTTACATCCCATTCCATTTTGGACAGTTCTTATTGTCAAATTCTTATGTGAAGCATACCTGATAATTTTTGGATTTATAATTTTTCCATCTTATCCTCAAGGATATCATGAGAAACTTTGTCAAATAACTTGCTAAAATTCAGCAATACTATGTCTCTGGCATTCCTCAAAGCCAGGCTATTGAGTAATCCTTTCATAAAAGGATGTGAAATTAGTTTGTCATGGCTTGTTTTTGACTCCCTGCTGATTCCTAAAAAATCCCTACATTCTTTTTCAAATGCTCACAAATTTTTACAGAGGGATGATGAAGCCTCCATTTTTAAAAGTCATGCCAAATATTCCCATATCCTGGAAACTTTCCTGTGCCCACTGCACTATACTGTACTTCTTGCAGTCTTCCCCCTCACCTCCATATCTGTCATCTCCCACACATTCTGACTTGGACCTCATGTTAGCTCTGTGAGGGAGTATGAAGTAACCTAATCTTTCTTTGGCAACTGTGAGATAACCTTCTTTGCCACAAGTCACATCTGGTTATCCCCTCTTGCCTCTTAATATCTGCTAGAAGATTGTAGAGGAGAATTACAAGCTTTCTTGGAATGGCTGCCCTCATCATTTGATATTATACAGCATAAGGTAAGGCCTGGAAAAGTCTGTCCCTGGAGGACAAATCCTGGATCCCTCAGGACTAAGGAAGTGTTTTTGCAGTTGATGTTTCCTGGCATTTGGTTTTTCAGATAGAGCCCAAGAATGGCCTAGAGAGGGCATGGGGACAGACAGTATATCTAGGCTAAATCAAGCCTTTTGCCTGGGGTAAATCTGTGCCCAGAGTCCGTCCAGATGTTATCTGGAGCAAGCTTTGAAAGGCTGCATAGCCTCCGTGTACCATGCGTCTCCTTTCACCAGTTGTTTGTCTGTGGCTTCGCTAAAACTTCACTAAATCGTAGATCATGGGTTCATAGACTAATTCCCTCATTTTACAGATGAAGAAACTGAGACATAGACCAGCTAATCAGCTTGCCCAGCTAAGAAATCTGAGGTGGAATTTGAACCTAGGCCATTCTGACTCCTAAGTCCAATGCACTATCCTACTACACCATTCAGCTCTATGAAGCCATCAATCACCCACCTTCCTCTCTTCACCTGCAAATGTCTTTGTACATTTTTTCAGAGCCACAGAGGACACATCTGAGATAAAAGTGTGTGTGGCAGAGAGAGTGTAGAGTAAATTGTATTCTAATTTCAACCCTGCTGTTGAGTTCTATTGTGACCTTTCTGGACTTAATCTTGAATTTCCTCTTCTGTAAAATAAGGAGAATTATACTTCACTAAATACTTATTGAAGACGTTATTTGCAAGGCTCCAGGTACGACATTCATTCCTCTTGAGGTGAGGATAAAGGATGAAATATGGGGAGAGGAAGAGCCAAGATGGCAGAGTAAAAGCAGGAACTTACCTGAGCTCTCCCACCAAACCCCTCCAAATACCTTTAAAAATGACTCTAAAATTCTAGAGCAGCAGAACCCACAAAGAAGAGTGAAACAAATTTCCAGCCCAAGACAACCTGGAAGATGAACAGGAAATGTCTGTTGCACTAGGCTGAGAGAGGAGCACAATCCAGCACAGATGGGGCCCCAGCAAACCCAAAGCAAGCCTCAGGGGACTGGATCACTGGTAGCAGTGGCAGTTTCCAGACTTCTGAGCCTACAAATGCCAAAGACAACCTAGGTCAGTAGGAAAGGTCTGTCAGACCTGGGTGAGAGGAGTGCTGTCCAGCCCTGGCCCCAGCACAGCCTTGGGGCAGCAGTAGTAACAGCTGCTTCTGGAGCTCTCAGCCCACTGATGGTAAAGGGATCAAACACCTGATCAGAAGGAGATTACAGGGGTCTCTGCTGGCACTGAGGCAGGACTCTGTTGTTTTGCCATGCTTGGATGTGGGTCACAGTCCTTAGGGGAGGAGGAGCACTAGTATAGCAGAACTTGTGGCAGCAGTGGAGAGCGACCCTCCTCACAGTTCTAAGGCAGAAAGGAGTGCTTGTGGTTACTCGAAAGACTAGAGCACAGGCCAGAAGAGGAGAAAA